GCCAGCAAAAAAAAATGCTGGCCAAATATTGACAAATGTAACTCTAGTTTTATGTAGTGTCTCAGCTTCGCAATCTACTTTTGCACACTTTCATGGCCCTCTTGGCTGTTGTCACCACAACAGATTTTTTCACTGGGTCTCTTCTTCCACTTTAAGGACTAGAATATAATTTTAAAAAAAGAACAACGTAGATTATATTTAAGGATATTTGGTCATTTTAATCAATTTCCAGGTGTTTCCACAACTGGAAAACTAGTCTCTACATTTTCAGGTATTCCAGATTTTCCGGGGTGCATGAGAACTCTGATCACCGAAGTCAGTAGGATTAATCCTCTGAGGACCATGAATGTTTGTAAAAATAATAATAATAAGAAGAATTGGATCTGAATCCATCTAATATTTGTCGAAATTCACCAAAATGTTGGACCGGCCGACCAACATTGCCAAACCCCAAAGACCATGCTGGATCACTGTGTCCAGCAAAGCATAAACAGCCTATGTTGTAAACAGTGATGTGTAAAAGACTACTCTTGCATATTTACGTCACCCAAAAATGGGCCAGTAGTATTTGCACATTGTCCCTTATCTTCTGCTGCTTGGCTTCAGGGAGCAAGGATTATTATGAAATCGACATTAACCACAGAAGAGGTGCAGTACTGGTCCACAGATAGGTGAGACAGCTACATAATTATGAATTTTGAATGAAGTATTCGCTATTCCAAATTCCTTACACTTTGGACAGCTATGCCTTTGCCATCCTAGGGAAAAAAAAAATTTAAAAAATTTAGCTCACAAACCACTATTGAATGACACACATCAGGGAGGATTTAGAACTTGGTATATCCAATGCTGATGGAAATATAAATGGGTCTACTCCTGCACCACTGATTTTTGCTCGAAATTATCATAACAGTTCAAAACTAGGTGTTTGAACCGGAACGGAGCCGGTTCCCTTGTTGGTATAAAAGACCTAACTATGGTCGACATCTTGGCAGTCCTGACTCTACTGGTTCTTTAGAGATTTCTTTCTTATAGAGATTGGCTCACTGCTGGAACCAGCCTCAAGTGGCTGTTGGAGGAACTGCAGTTTTGGGCTCTTCCACATTGACCTAATTTGCTAGCCACAGAGGTTGCTGCTTGGTTTGGCCTGTACAGCCTTACACTCTGTTAGCTTTGTTGTTCTCGTTAGGCTGGGACACCTTTATCATTCTCAGTGGTACCTGCAGTTTGCTGGCCTCACAATATATGTATATGTATATATATATATATATGTATATGTATATGTATATATGTATATATATA